AGACAAAGAGAGAATCCTCAAGGCAGCAAGGGAGAAGGAGAAAGTAACATACAAGGGGGCCCCAATACGCCTAGGAGCAGACTTCTCAACAGAAACACTACAAGCCAGAAGGGAATGGCAACAAATATTCCAAGTCATGAAAAGCAAGGGGCTACAGCCAAGGCTGCTCAACCCAGCTAGGCTCTCAATTAAAATAGAAGGGGAAATACGGAGTTTCCCAGACAAAAGAAGCTTAAAGGAATACGTCTCTACCAAACCAGGACTCCAAGATATGCTAAGGGGACTGGTTTAAGCAGATGAAGGAAAAGAATGAGAGAAAGAGGAACACAGGTACAAAGAGAAAAGATGAGTAAGGTTCTATCAGTAATATCTCTCAATGTGAATGGACTGAATGCCCCAATAAAAACACACAGGGTAGCTGAATGGATGAGAAAACATGACCCACACGTATGCTGCCTACAAGAGACCCATCTCAGAGCAAGGGACGTACACAGATTGAAAGTAAAGGGATGTAGAAAAATATTCCAAGCAAATGGGCATGAGAAAAAGGCTGGGGTTGCCATACTTGTATCAGACAAAGTAGACTTCCAAACAAAGGGCATAAAGAGAGACCCAGAGGGGCACTTTATAATACTTAAAGGAAGAATCTATCAAGAAGACATCAACATTGTAAACTTACATGGTGCCAGTATAGGAGCCCCCAAGTTTATAAGGAAATTGTTGAATGACTTCAAAAAAGATATAGACCGCAACACAGTGATATTAGGGGATTTCAACACCCCACTGTCAAAAATGGACAGATCTTCCAAACAAAACATTAATAAACATATTGTGGTGCTGAATGAAACACTGAATCAAAGAGACTTAACTGACATATATAGTACCTTACATCCCAAAGAAGAAAAATACAAATTCTTTCCAAATGCTCATGGCAGTGTTTCAAAGATAAACCACATGATAGGACACAAAGCAAGCCTCAGGAAATTCAGGAAAATTGAAATAATACCAAACTTTTTCTCAGACCACAAGGGCTTGAAACTGGAAATCAACCTCAAAAAGAAACTTAAAAACTTGCAAAGTCATGGAGACTGAACAGTAGACTGTTAAACAATGAATGGGTCTATAATGAGATAAGAGAAGAATTCAAAAAAATTCTGGAAACAAATGAAAATGAACCTACAACAGTCCAAAACCTATGGGACACAGCAAAGGCGGTCCTGAGAGAGAAGTTCACAGCAATACAGGCTTACCTAAAAAAGATAGAAACATTTCAGATAAAAGACCTAACACTACAACTTCAATAACTGGAGAAACAGCAACAAATAAATCCCAGAGCAAGGAGAAGTAAGGAAATAGTAAAGATTAGAGCAGAACTGAATGACATAGAGACGAAAAGAACAATTCAAAGGATCAACCAATCCAGAAGCTGGTTCTTTGAAAAGATAAATAGAATTGACAAGCCTTTAAGTAGACTCATCAAGAATAAAAGGGAGAGGACCCAAATTAATAATATCAGAAATGAAAGAGGAGAAATAACAACTGATACCACAGAAATACAAAGGATTGTCAGAAACTACTATGAACAATTATATGCCAAGAAATTTGAAATACTTGATGAAATGGTCAAGTTTCTAGAAAAGTATAATCTTCCAACACTGAAGGAGGAAGAAACAGAAAGCTTGAATAGACCGATAACAGCTGGGGAAATTGAAACAGTCATCAAGAAACTCCTGGCACATAAAAGCCCAGGGCTGGAGGATTTCACAGTAGAATTTTACAAAACATTTAAGGAAGAGCCAACCCCTGTCCTTCTCAGACTATTCCAAAAAATCTAAGAAGAGGGAATACTCACAGACTCTATCTATGAGGGCCGTATCACCCTGATCCCCAAACCAGATAACGACCATTCAAAGTAAGAAAACTACATCCCAATTTTGCTAATGAACATAGATGCTAAAATCCTCAACAAAATATTGGCAAACCGCAGCCGGCAATACATTAAAAAGATTATCAAGTGAGATTCATCCCAGGCTTGCAAGAATGGTTCAATATACGCAAGTCAATAAACGTGATACATTACATAAATAAAAGAAAAGACAAAAACCACATGATCATCTCGATCGATGCAGAAAAAGCATTCGATAAGGTACAGCACCCATTTATGATCAAAACTCTCAGCAAAATGGGAATAAATGGGGCATTCCTCAATGTAATAAAGGCCATATATGAAAAACCTACAGCTAATATCATACTCAATGGGCAAAAACTTAAAGGTTTCCCCCTAAGATCAGTAACACGACATGGATGTCCGCTCTCACCGCTTCTTTTCAACGTCGTATTGGAAGTCTTACCCATAGAAGTCAGAGAAGAGAAAGAGATAAACGGCATCCAAATAGGAAAGGAGGAAGGAAAGCTATCATTGTTTGCAGATGACATGAGAGTGTACATAGAGAACCCTGTAGACTCTACCAAAAAACTCCTCAACCTAATAAGTGAATTTGGCAAAACAGCAGGATACAAAGTCAAAATTTAGAAAACAAAGGCATTTATGTACACTAGCAATGCAATAGAAGAAGAAGAAATCAGAAAAAAAAATACCATTTGATATAGCAAGAAGAAAAATACAGGACCTAGGCGTAAATTTAACCAAAGACGTAAATGATCTGTATGCAGAAAACTATACAACATTCAAAAAAGAATTTAAGGAAGACACAAATAAATGGAAGCATATACCGTGCTCATGGATTAGAAAAATTAATATCATCAAAATGTCCATACTACCCAAAGCAATTTATCGATTCAACGCAATCCCTATTAATATACCAATGACGTATTTCACAGAAATAGAACAGACATTTCAAAAATTTATATGGAATCATGAACGATGCAGAATAGACTCAAGAATTTTGAGAAAGAAACACAAAGTAGGAAGAATCACAATCCGGACATCAAACTCTACTACAAAACCACTATACTCAAAACAATCTGCTACTGGCACTAGAAGTGACCCATAGTCTAGTGGAACAGAATAGAAAGCCCAGAAACAAGCCCAGGTCTCTATGGGCATCTAATATTTGACAAAGGGGGCATAAGCATAAAATGGAGCAATAATAGACTCTTCAAAAAATGGTGTTGAGAGAGCTAGACGGCTCCATGGAAAAATTTGAAATTGGATCATCAGCTGACACCATACACAAAAATAAACTCAAGATGGATAAAAGACTTAAATAGAAGTCGCAACACCATCAAAGTCCTAGAGGAGAACATTGGCAGGAAACTCTCAGATATCACATGCAGAAATTTTTTCACTGGTATGTCTCCTAAAACAAGGGACATAAAGGAAAGAATAAACAAGTGGGATCTCATCAAAATAAGAAGCTTCTGCACGGCAAAAGAAAACATCAGCAAAATTAAAAGGGAGCCAACCGTATAGGAAAATATATTTGCTAATGATACATCAGATAGAGGTTTGATCTCCAAGATATATAAAGAACTCACTCGACTCCAATCCAAGTAGACAAACGATTCAATCAAAAAATGGGCAAAGGACATGAGCAGACGCTTTTCTAAGGATAGGATACAGAGGACCCAGAGGTATTTGAAAGGATGTTCAGCATCACTAGCCATCAGAGAAATGCAGATCAAAACGACCATGAGGTACCACCTCACAGCAGTCGTAATGGCCATCATAAACAGATGAACAAACAACAGGTGCTGGCGAGGCTGTGGAGAAAAGGGAACCCTAGTACACTGTTGGTGGGAATGCAGAGTGGTGCAGCCACTGTGGAAAGCAGTGTGGAATTTCCTCAAAAAGCTCAAAATGGAACTGCCTTTTGATCCAGTGATTCCCCTGCTGGGACTGTACCCTAAGAACACCAAAACACCAATACAAAAGAACCTATGCACCCCAATGTTCATAGCAGCAGAATTGACAATAGCCAAATGTTCGAAGCAACCTAAATGCCCATCAGTAGATGATTGGATCAAAAAGTAATGGTACATATACACAATGGAATACTACGCAGCAGAAGGAAAAAAAGAACTACTAAACTTTGTGACAGCATGGATGGAACTGGAGAGCATTATGCTAAGTGAAATAAGCCAGGGGGTGAAACACAAATTCCATATGATCTCACGTGTAAGCAGAACCTAACCAACAATACAAAGATGCAAGGAAAATAAGACCAGCAACACTGAAAGGAAAAGAAACCAACAGAGACAAGAGGGAAGGAGGGAGGGGGGTGGGGAAAAGGAAGGGAAGGGGAAAATCAAGGAACATATAGCAAGGACTCATGAACAAAACCAAGGGGAGGGAATGAGGGAGGAGGAAAGGGAAAGTGGTGGGGGGTAGCCAGAGACAAATGTATTTGAAAAAATAAAATAATATTTAAAAAATTAAAAAAATAAAATAAAATCGATACTTAAACATAGAAGTATGATTGTTATTGCAGCTACACACCAGCTGGAATACCACTAGAAAATAAACCTAGCTACACTACTCTCTGTGATTGGAGCAATCTCCAAAAGCTTGATTTTTAACCAAAAGGCAAAACAGATCTTAAAATCCTAAAATGAAAAAGGAATGCAGCAGCCTTGCATAGAATGGCACTTACTGGGAGGAGAAATAGACATATCCGTTAACATTCTGAAAAGTCTTCAGTGGCTGCCTTGCTGATATCAAAGTGGGAGAAAGTATCATGGGAGCACTCCTTGCTGTAGGAAGTGCTAGGCAGTAAAGACCTCTTTGGAGACAGGAAGTCTGACAAGTCCTTTTCAAATATTATTTTGCTCATCAAAGAAGATGGAATCTGCCTCTGAAGACTTCCTCATAACCTTGCAATTGCCCTAAATACAGTGCATGTATGTAATTTATTTATAAAGTATATTCTCCTGGAAATGATTTGGGTGCTTTAAATATAGATCTGATGTTGATTAGTACATTCGAAGATGTAACAGGCAACCATTTTCCAGAAAGATAAATTACATACATATTCAACTACCTTGTAGGGCTCCCCAAAAAGATCAAAGCCTGAAGAAAAGAGATCATCTTCTTGTTGGACTTCTTGATTCCTCCACTCCCATTCCATTTTCTTAAGTGCACTACAGTCTTGTTCATAGTGACTAAAATGAAAAGAGAAAGACAAAAGGACAAATAGATTAATTAGTCAAGTAAATCATTTAGCTCTCATTGTTAATAAGAAGAAAATAATGCAAGTCATGGCTATCAAACTGATACTGCATTAAGAGCATAATTTTTATCTTGGGTGACTGAAAGCATTTTTTGTGAAGCTTTTGACAAAGAAAGGGGTCTGGCTTGAGCAACAAACTTTTTTAAATAAAAAAAAGGTGTAAAAGCCTTGAATAACTTTAACACACAAGTGTTTTATAAATACATGTATCTCTGTGGGACTCATCACATTTTGTGCTTTCTTATTGGAGGACCAATAGAAAAGCTTTCAGACAATGTCTAAGATATATTCTGGGCCCTTGAACTTTATAGAACAAAATGCTGCTTTATTTTTTTAATATTTTATTTGTTTATTTATTTGTTTGTTTGGGTATTTATTTATTTAGATAAAGGGGAAGGGAGAGAGAAAGGGGATGGGAGGGAGAAAGAGAGGGAGAGAAATACCAATGTAAGGGAGAATCATCAAACAGCTGGTTCTTGCACATGCCTTGACCAGGGACTGAACCCACAACCTGGGCATATGCCCTGACTGGGAATTCAACTGGTAACCTTTTATCATGAGGGACAATGCTCTAACAAACTGAGCCACACTGGTGAGCGTGAAATGCTTCCTTATTAAAAAATATATATTTTCTCCATCATGTAAAACCATGCATATTCAACTATAATCTTTAAGCCTTAAAGTAGTGGATTTATATTGTTCATTTGGGTCCCTCCCACCCTGCTTTTGATTGCAATCTTACCTAAGGTGAGTATATATATGTTGCAAAAATTTGAATTATATGACTTATGTAAAATGCTTAGCAGGTGCCAGAAAAATGTTGCTTTCCTTCCCCACATTAATATTTTAAGGTTAAGATTTAATTAGATAATTGACATGCAAATGAACATAATAGCTAAAGAAAATGCAAGAGTTACACCGATATAAATGTACAGCTGACAGGTTTAGAATGCAGCCCAAATCATAATGCCCATCACTGGTAGCCTAGCTTTCTTGTGAGTATCATGACTTTAATTTACAAAAGAAGAGGCCAGGAGCATGAAATACCCATGGCGGATCTAGATATTGATATACATAAAGAGTAAGATGCCACTACACTTAATCAACCACCTTTCTCCACAGGAATCCTTGAAATGACAAATTCAAAGTGACTTTGATAGCATTATCTTCTGGATAAACAACATTTAATTTCTCCGTTTTACAAATAGTGGCAATTTATAGGGTGCTTAAATATACAATATGCTTTCATATTACAAACAACGCCAGATAGATGAGAGCTCACTGGGCCATTCATGTGTGTGCTCAACAAATGTTATCACTGCCTCTAAAATCAAAGAACCTCTAGAACTCTACCCAAAGCTCAGGCTCCACATCTGGGCCCCGCCTGGTCAAGAAAGATGCCAAGTCCAGATACTGAAAGCCACTCTACCATTTGTAGTCTCAAATGTTATCCACAGGTATTACGATTGCTAGCATCATCTCTCAATTCCATTCACAAGTTGGGTTCAGAATCTCAAACAGTCGTCATGTGTCTCAATGTATTTGTGTTGGAGGCTAATATAGAATCACCTAGGGATAGTAACATCTTCAGTCCATAAAGTGTGGAGCACAAGATTTGACCTCAGCACCATGCATTGGCTATGGGTTACACAAACCTATCATTAATTTGTCAAAACCTAAGAAACATAGGATGTCAGGAGTGGAGGTGGAGAGAACAAGTTAAAGAAATATTTAGTCAGGGTGGGAGGAGGCTTTGTTGCAAAGGAGAAGTACACAATTTGTTTGAATTCCATAGAAAATGATTCTCAACATACAAATAAGAGCCAAAGTCTCCTGCTTCTGAGAAATGTGAGCAGATGTCAGTTTTCTAGCTATCTGTTCATTTTGTGCACCTGACAGCCCAGAATAACAGGCCCATAGATCACATTTGGTTCTCCCATGACTGAAGTACTTTGGTCTCTTGGCTTTGTAGATTACTATTCTTCTCTTTTGAGACATAGACATAATTAAACACTTGAAGGAAAAGAAGGAGAAGAAAGTAAAACATTCTTCAACCCTTCAAGTGGCCAACAGTCAAGGCACTTTCTATTCTTTTGACCTGGGGTTGATTTGTTGGAGGTGCTTAGCTGCATTTTGCATTAGTCCGTTAGCTACCAAATTCCAGACAAAAATCTGAAGAGCAGATTAGTTATTCATGTGGGTGTTATCTGTTGCAAGAAAACTGACTTTACATTTTAAAACACATAAAACAAAGAATAGTTAATTCTCATGTCTCTGGTGAGAATGATTTAATCTCCAGAAAGTTCTGCTCTTAGAAGGCAGCTGAATCTCTCCATTTTTTTTTTCTTTTTCACTCAGTGTGGCATTGTATTGAAAGCTTCACAGGGCGAGGTATAATGAGGAATAAAGTACATGAGGCTTTCACAGTGTATAGAAAGAACATCACTGATTTCTGATTGAAACAGAAATTATTAATTTGAAGCACCAGCTTATTAAAACCACAACTATGTATTTAGCCTCATTATATCTATGGCAGTTTATAATTATGAGGACCTTTTTATCTACTAATTTAAAGTTCTTATGATTCAGGCAGGTTGTGTTTGAATCAGTGAGTCCTGCAGAGGCCACAGGAAAGCATATGTATTTCCCCTGATAATCAGATGTACCTTTACACTCCCAGGCTTGTTTCCCAAAGAAACAAAGGGCTCTACAGCCCATGAAGAAATACTCAAGCCAAAAATCTGAATTAATTATCATATTATTAGTTTAAATAATTCTAGTTTATTCACACTGATGAAAAGAGGATAAATTGGTCCTACCAGTGTGAAAATTCACTTTCAAATTGGGAAGTTGAACCAAAAAGCTCAACTCAAGGACTCGTAACTCTTAGCAAGTTAAGGTGTTCTTTCAATATTTTTCTCCCAGATATAATGAACTCTGTCACATTATGGTGACATAAAAATCATTGAACAATCAAAACTCAATTTATTCCTAATTAACCAAAGGTCTTTGGTTTTTCTCTCTATAACTTATCTTTGTGGAATCCCTGCTTGACTGATACATGCCCTAGTTGACAGGAAAAGGACAGAAAGAAGCACAAACTCCATTTAACTACAGGTATACCTCAGATATACTATGGGTTTTGTTCCAGACTACAGCAATAAAGTATCTATTTTAAAAAATGTTTATTGTATTTTTTCATTACCATTTAACATCCTTATACCCCACTCCTCTCTGCAATGGAAACAATGTTATTCATGTCCATGAATCCCTTTTCCTTTTTGGCTAATCCCTCTACCCCCTAACCTCCCTCACCAATAGCTGTTATTCTGCTATCCAACTATCAGTCCTGTCCCCAATTTCCTTTTTGTTCAGATTGTTCATTAGATTGCACATATGAGTAAAATTATATGGTATTTGTTTTTCTCTGACTGGTTTATTTCACTTACCATAATGTTCTCCACATCGATCCATGCTGTTGTAAATAGTAAAATTTTATTTCTTCTTTTTTGTGTGGCCAAGTAATATTCCATCATGCAAATGCCCTATAGTTGTTTTATCCACTCAGCTACTGATGGACACTTGGGCTGCTTCCATATCTTGGCAATTGTAAGTAATGCTGTGATGAACACAGTAGTACTTATGTTCTTTTGAATTAGTATTTTGGGTTTCTTTGCTATATTCCCAGAAGTGGGATTGTTGGGTCAAAAGGCAGATCCATTTTCAATTTTTTGAGGTATCTCCATACTGCTTTCCACAGTGGTTGTACCAGTCTGCATTCCCACCAGCAGTGCAAAAGGGTTCCTTTTTCTGTATATCCTTGCCAGAACTTGTTGTTTGTTGATTTATTGATGGTAGCCATTCTGACAGTTGTGAGGTGATATCTCATTGTGGTTTTAATTTGCATTTTTCTGATGATTAGTGATGTTGAGCATCTTTTCATATGTTTATTGGTCATCTGTATGTGCTCTTTGGAGAAGTGCCTATAAAGTATCTCTATAAAGTGAGTTATAATCTTTTTTTCTGGTAGAGTGTCCTTCCTTCAATTTGCAAAAAAAAAAAATGCAATAGCTGTAATGCACAATAAAGTGAAGCACAATAGAACAAGTTATGTCCAAACTCTGCTACTTCGATGTAAGGTGTGATGACAAGAAGTCTCTGTAGAAGGAGACTTTTATATTAGGTCTGATTTCACCCACATGTTTGTTTCCTTGATCTCCAATAACAGAGAAATTTCTCTTATTAACACAGGAGGAAGGTAAGGCCCTCTTGGGATGAGAGAAGCTGTTCCAAGCCCTCATCAAGGTAATGGCAAAGGAAGATATGGACCCATGCCTCTTTCATCTTCATATTCAAGCAATTTCTTCCCATATTTGTTACTCAGATACTTTCCTATCCTTTCCCTTAAATCTGATCTTATACAGAGGTAACTCCATTTTTTATCATTATAAGTCACAAGTGCATTTACGGGACGATAAAACCAGGCGACATGTAGATTCACTGAGATTGAGAAGGTTCAGTTATGCCATCTTCATTAGCTCACAGTGGTAGCACACTCAGACTGACAATGCAGGATAGTCTCTTAGAACAGAGACTGTTGAAATAGGAAGAGATTTTAGTAATCATCTAGTTCTGTAACCTAATTTTACAGATGAGAAAACTAAGCTAAGAAAGATAAAGGGTCTCACGGCAGGTATGACAGAACTAGGAGGCAGGATCCCAGGTCTTCCAATTCCCAAACGGGTTATCCTCCTCATACACAATTCTTTGTCACTTCTGCCTCCCAGGTTTCCATCACACTCAAAATTAAATATTTGTTTCATTTGCACTCCATTGGTCAATTTTCCTTAGGATTATATTTTATTAAAAATTGCCAGTAGGGAAAAACTCTGGGAATTTAATTTGGATTCCAGTATAGAAAACCCATTAATTTCCTTACACCAAAATGTACAGACTGTAAAGGGATTGTAAAAATTAACTATATCTTTGTGGAGAAGCTGAGTGAGGGAGAGTAGGAACCAGTTTAAATTTATTCAGTTTGTATTTATCATGGTTTAATAATCGTTATTTAGCTAATTAGGTCATTTTACAAAGGTAGATGGGTAAAGATTAAAAACATTGCTACTTTAAGTACAAGTTTAAAAATACTGCTAATACAAATTTACTGTAGTAATGATACACATGAAGGCACATAATTCAATATCACTGTTTTTTAAGCCAGCTGGCACTAAAATACTTTCATTTCAGCTAATATATTTGTAAAAACATAAAAATACATATTTTATTCACACAAAGTACAAATATAAGCTATAACTCTCTTCTTGTGGTTCTCTTGACTGAATTTCTGCCTTCTATGGAATTTCTATATTTACTTACTGCAATACACGTTCTAGAGTTCCAAGTGGTACTTTTTTTTCCAATATCTAGACCATTTTGAATTTAACATTGACCACATCTCAGAATACCATCTTATAGTTAAAAAAGAGAAGCTCTGTTATTCAATATCTTCAAAATCACCCCCAGTAAAATATTTATTTTTTTTCTGCAAATATCCATAAGCACTTAAGGGTGAAGTGCTAAATTCAAAGCTTTTTAAAAAGCTAAAAACAGGTCATAATTGTTTTACACACATAGGGAAGACACATGAGAACTTTGGATCTGGCCATGTGAACAAAGCCCTCAAAGGAGTTTATAAGATCAGAACCTGTAAGTCATATTTAAACAACAGGACTCACTGAGACATCTGTATACAATCGCTCTCTTCAACAAATGGACTAGCCTACTAAACTGCCAAAATTATGTTATAATACCTTTAACAAATACCAAATACTCAACCTGCAAAGATAATTGAATGCATCTAGGAATTCTAAAAACCTAACCTCACATTAACCAAATAAACAAGTTTTGTTGTTTCTAAAGAATTTTGAGGTATGTCTGGAAGTGATGGTATCCAAATTGAGATCTGGGCTGGGACTCACTCTTTCAGTTACAAGTTTCTTGGTCATTTATAAATCACTTTACATTTCTAAGCCTCAGTTTCCTTTTTGTAAAATGGGAATAATCTTTCTCTCCCCTCTCCATGCAGTTGGTGTAAAGGTTAAATATGATAGTGGATAGGAAGGCTTTTGTAAACTACTACTGTTTGCTCATAGGCTGCACTCACTGGCAACCTGATCATTCTGTGCCTTCATCACACAAAGCCATACTGCACATTGATTCATGTGCTCCTCAACAATGCCTGGTTAATTAGCAAGACAGGGATTATTATTTCCATTTAAGAATGAAAAACTGAGGCTCATAGAAAAGTACCAGCCTATGAGGCTACATCCCAATCCAGTGTTCTTTCAAAAAGTCTGAGATACTATGACAAGACATGCTTATGCCAAAGATATTTACATATAGCTTTCACAACTTCTCTTTACTCCAAAAATATGACAAAAATGTATTATTATTGAGGCCTAAATTCTTTCTAATAACAGACTAGCATAAAATATATTTCATTAGATATCCTCTGAAGACTTTCCTGTCTAGATCCGAAAGTGATTTTTGAGATAGAGGCACCGAATTGGTCAATACATGGACTTAATTCACAAATTAATATTGTCTGAAGTTTAAAACAATGATTTCTTAAAATATCTCTAAATATCATTAACCTTCTCTAATATGGTTCTCAATTTTGGTTGCACATGGGAATCATCCAGGAAAGAGTTTAAATCCCGATGCCCTGGGCCACATGTCAACATGCCAGATCAAGTACACTGGAATTTCCCAGAGTGGGTCCTAGGCAACAACTATAAAACAACTTTCATCTTCACACATGATAGAATCATTCACATATAAATCTTTTTATTGGACCCATTTGTGCATACCAAAATATGATGGATTTAACATGAAGATAAATCAAGAACCAGGCCCTTTTAGGGAACAGATGTATTCTATTATGCAGAAATCTGCATTGCTGATATATGCCACACAAAGGCCTTGAAGGTGAAAAGCAGTTATTGCGAAAAGAGACATGTCATGCAGAATAATAGCACTAATAACACTGATATTTACTCTCTATCAATTTTTTGCTCCGTGCCAGAAACAAGGCTAGGCATTTTATGAGAATTCTCTTATTTAATCCTCACAAAAGCTACGATGAGATAGCCTCATCCTCCCTTTTCAGATGAGGTAACTGACACACATGAGATCCAGACAGGTTAACATGCCCAGTGTCACAAAATTAAGTGACCACTGAGGCTGCCAGAATCCAGGCTCCATCCTCTTAGCCAAAAAGAAGATTCTGGTAGGTAGAAGAGAAAATGCATCCACATATTTAAGCTCTGCTTATACAACAAACATGGTACTATTGATTCAGGGATATTTCTAAAACATAAACTCCCTGCAGAATATTTCAGCTTTGAAGCATGGTATAGACCTCAGAACAGCAAGCACAGGTAGGTACTCAAATAGATATTGATTATCAAAAATTATAAGAGTGCACTAAAATTCCATTTTTTTACAAAATTCCATTTTAATATAAATGCCCCTTTTATATAGAATGAGCATGACTCTGGCAGCTCAAATGTTGCCATCTGCCTGCAGTAGTAGTCAATATATCAATAATTTTCTAGAAACCTGTCAAAATGTATTTTAAAAGCAGCCTTTCCAGTGAAATTAAATTCTTTGTCCTTCCACAGTAGAACTGTTTGCTGAGACATGGTGAAATATTCATGACTGTTGGAGAGAAGTGTCTGACTCCCCAACAAAGGTTACTTCTCTCCTCCCCCAGGCAGCTCAGAATGTGTTAGCTATACCTCTGCAACTATGCACGTTTATCTCCTTCAACTTCATGTCCAGCACCCTCTTTGTCTTACTGAGTACTCCACTACAAGAAGACTCCATTGCACAATAAACATCTAAGCAGCCCTGAGTTTCTTTTCTACTTTGGCAACATTTTCTTAGGTTTAGCGTCTAATTTCCACTTTTATAGAAAACCATTTAAAAGTAAGTCTAGTTTTGACACATTCATTGAAAATGAGACTTTGTTATCATTCCTCCTGGCTCACTGACCCAATGACAACAAAAACCAATCACTTGCAAGTACCTCACATTCAATGTGGCAAAACAGGGAGAGCTGAAAATAATTTCATGACCCAGAATCTATCAAGAATACTTCCTGAAGACTAATAGAGTCTTGGAATGGTTTACCACAAGCCAAGAAAAGATGCAGTCAGAGAGTGAATACAGTGCATGTACATATTTATATATTTATCACTTTTGAATCAGTTCAAAAATTAAAACAGGCAGACTTCAAGAGGGCAGAGTAGTGAATGGAAGTCACACTGATCTCCTCCAAGGACCAATCGGGAGTTACAAATTGTGGAGAAATCATCTGGAAAACAACTGAACAATAGTAAGAAAAGAGACTTAAAACCTCAGGTGGAGAGAGGAATTGGCTAGTACAACATAACTGGTAAGGAGTGCAGTAGAGACTCAAGAAGGTGGGCTGGGTACCCATGGGCAGCAGCGACAGAGGGATATTTAAAAGACCAATTGGAAACCCCTGAGAAGACAGGGGTCTGAACAATAGGGGGTGACTTTAAGCCCATAAAACCAGACCTCAAATATACACAGATAGCAAACAGCTGTGAAAAGTGGCAGGGTTGCTCTCTGCCAGAGAAGGGAAGCTGGAGACACAAAGAGCAATTTAAAGGGCCATCACATACATTTGTATTGGCACCCACTTACCCAGGGCTAGGGCAAAGGCAGGCACAGAGTGGGTTGGAGCTTCCTAAGGAGAGAGTTGGGAAGGAGGCTTTGGGAGAGAACTGAGAGAGTAGCCGGCAGGGCCCTGGTGCATCCTCATCCCTCATTCAGCAGCTTCCACGTTTCACAGGCATATCAGCCACCTGAGAAGCAGCAACTTGAGAGGAAACAATAACCCCACCCACATGAGGGACTCTGCCACACCCTGTGGTGCCTAAGCCTGACTGTTGAGTACAGAGTGACCATATTAACAACTGGAGGAGACAACAACAGAGAGTAACACCTAGAAGTCTCTAAAAAACTACCTGAGGTCAGATGGGGTCAAGAGCTGACATCGTCAGAGGCAGATCCAGGAAAAAAAAAAAAAGCAGTCTCCTATGATAAAAGTCCAAACCAAAAAGTCAGGAAGTCAAGACAGATCAAGTTAAGAAGCGGAAGGAAAAAAGAAAACTCTCACAAATATTGGGAAGACAAAGAAACACCCCCCCAAAAAACAAAATCAAAGGTAACAATTTTTATTTTCTTGTTTATTCTTGCAGTGTTTCTTCAAGCATTCTTCAGTGTCAACTTGTTATTTTCTTATTTAGGATTCTCTCTTTAAATTCATCAGTCAATGCTAATGATGATCTTTAAAAAGCTGCTAGATCTAAATCTTGATCTACTTCAAGGAAATGTCAACTTTTCAGAAACAGAAATTATTTCATGGATTGACACAAGAAGAGGCAATACAATGACAGACT